GCGGTGGTTCTAGTTTCTTTTGGTTTACCACTATTTTCAGAGTAACCATGTTCTGTTTTAGCAAAATCCACTAGTCTATATATTATATTATATCCGTACCACTTTGTTTGGGCATCTGACAATTATATATATTTGTGTGTGTACAACTAACTGTTTGTGTGGATGGTGGGCTGATGTTCTGGTTTGGTTTGTTCCTTCTTTCCTGTCAAACATCTGTTGTCCTTATCTCTCTAGCTTCTTTTTTTGAGTTTGATACTCTCTTGTTATACTATTAATCTTCGGCATGTACATGACCAAATTGTATTTTATGTGCCGTAAACCTCATACCAAACTAAGCTAGTGGGTGGTTGGTAGGTGCTCTGGTCTGGTTTGCTCCTTCTTTCCTATCTCACCTTCTTCTTTTTTATGTTTGTTACTCTCCTGTAACACCTCTAATCTTCTGGCGCTCATATGACCTTATACAGTTGCTAGCGTTGTAAAATCTTTACTAATACTAAAAAGAAACTAAGCTAAACAGCTGCTTATTGTGTTGATACCCGGTATTTTTAAAAACTTTTCAGCCATTCCAATTTTTCTTATACTGTAGAATCACTCTTTCATGTTAACTAACAGTTAACAGGATAACTTTACTAACGATGCCACAGCACAAAATCCTGGGTTTTTTTACTACTTACTATGGTGTTTAAGATGTCCTGGGTGCCATGGTGTTTAGGCTGTTTTCATGTGGGTACCTTTCAGTTTATTTTGCGTGTGTGTATGTGTGAGTGTGTGTATGGGTGTCAGTGTGTGTGGGCATGCGTTTGCATGCGTGCGCCTGAGCACGTGTGTGTATGTGTGTCTGTCTGTGCGTTCGCGTATGTACATGCGGGCGTGTGTGTGTGTGTGTGTGTGTGGGTGTGTGTGTGTGTTCAGATATGTATATTATATTTAGATACATAGTTGGCTACTTTTTTTCAAAGCGGCTTGTCTTTTCCCACGTACTGTCTCTGTCCCAGGTGTGTAGGTTTCTTGCCTCAATGCTGGGTCTGCCTTCCCTATATAAGGTTTTTATCTAATTTTACTTTCATCAATATTTCATGTTCCCTGCTGCTGCACTATCACAGCTATTTTATACATATCTTTAAGACATTTTGATTTTATTTTTACTTTTTGTACAAAAGTCATGGATTTTTTTACATGGGATAAATGAAGGGTTCGGTCTCTCAAGACACTACATACGGTGTCTAAAGTTTATTTTGACTGCCCAGTGTAAGACTCTGCTATAATATAAGTTACTTTTCAAAATGGCGTATGGTGGAGTCTTACTCAAAGCAGTCGATATTTTCGCTTCTTTGTTGTGCATACAAATGGTTCAGTGTTTGGCTTTAAGATAGATGAAAGTTGTTGATCTTTTTATGCAGGGATGTTTACTGCGGTGCAAGGAAGGAGATGTGCTAAGCTAAATGCAAGTTTGGGGAATTCAGTTGTTGCAAAGATTTGTCCATTTTTTTACTATAATACTCACATTATTATAATCTACCTTGATATTTTATAGGAAGTGGATATTTATACGGCAGGCCATCGAAAAATCGGAAGTGATAATTCCACGGCACATAAATTCAGCCAATCAGAGCATCCGGACTATTTATAATTAAGCCTATAATCTCTTTTCCATATGTAATGCATTAATTACTATATTATAGATACAATTTAAGATACCTGTATATTTAGTTAACAATGTTAATCCTTTGCTCTCATTTTGTGCGTTATGGACAATGATGAAATGTTTTGTGTGATTGTAATGAGAGTGAGAGATGCACAATTTATTTTGTGCAAGCAAAATGGAGAGAGACTGTTTTTTTCCAACAGTAGGGTGCCCATTTGCGGATGGGATCGGGTCGGGTTGGGTCAGGTGGTAGGTATGATCACCCGACTCGTCGCCTGGAAACAAACACAATTCTTGCATTGATACACTTGAAGCAGAGCCTATGCCGTTGAAATATCAATTCCGATCTTTAGACTTAAGACGGCATACTGTATGGGTATCACTTCCGATGTTCAGACAGCATGCCGTGGAAATATCAACT